GTCCCGGAAACGCGGGTCCGGGGAGCGTGGGGGAGAGGAGACACACCGTCAGCGCCAGGGCACGGGTGGGCGGCCGGCCGCGTGGGAGCGCTTCGCGAACACGAGCGCGTGACCAAGGAAAGGGGGCAGCGCCGAAAGGGAACCTCGCCTGAAACGAGGAGGGGAGCAACGAACACGCGGGGAGGACGGAGGCCTACCGTCTCTCCGCCGGAGGCCAGGGAACGCAGGTCCTGGGAGCATGGGTAGGGATAACAACAAGAAACACATGGAAGTCACATCAGCACCAGAGAGGCCCGAGGGGGAGAGCCTGCTCCCCTCTTGGAGGGGACGCGTGCGAGCCGGGCACACGGGGAACACACGGGGGGTGCAGGAGGCTGGGCTGCGTTGCACCCTGCCGTCGGGGGCTACGCCGCCTCAGCGCAGCCCTGGTCACCTCCGTGGACGTCTCCGTGCAGAGCCAGGTCCTGGCCTACCTCTTGCCGACTTCTCGGCCAGGATAGCCCTGGCTGATCCCAACCCAGCCCTCTCCTGCGTGGGCTGGAGAAACCGTCCTGGCAGCGGCAACCCACGGCACAGGCTCCGCAGCCCCGTCCCAGGGCCGGCCCCGCAGCCCAGAGGTGCTGTCAGAGACACCGACGGGTGACGGAGGTGCATGGGTGAGCTCCTGTCCCCTTCTCAGGGAAGGTACGGGTGGGAGCAGGGGACGCTGCCAGAAGGGCCCACCCAGTGCCCAGCCCGGCTCCTGCCTCCCAAGCAGCGCAGCCGGGAGCAAGCACGACCCGCTCTGTGACAGCGAGCCTCGCACCGGCATCTCGTACAAGGAGCAGAAAAGCACACGGACGGTCCCACCGCAGCGACTGGTACAACCCTCCAGCACAAGGACGGGCACTTTGCTTTCCGTCACTATGAAACCCAGGAGACTCCAGGAGTTCAAGCCCAGAACTGAAGGTTGCTGCTTTAAGCATCTGGAGAAGGAGGAGTTATGGCAGTCACAGCGATTTTGGGCTATTCCCCTTGCCCCAAATCACACACACATAAGGTTTGAGGAAAAGATGCTCAAGTCTTTAGCCTCTTCCACACCAAGTTTCATGGAGGATTAGCCAGGAGTTCGTTGCATGTAAACACACAGCTCTCAGAAAGCAATTGTTCAAGGGTCATCCTGGGAAGGATGGAGAGAGGACAAGCTGACCTCCAAGCTCTGCTCTTCTGTGGTCCCATGAAATGCCATGGACATCAGCAAGGGACCAAAGGCAAAGCAAGCATTCACGGATTCAGAGAGCACACACTCTTGTCTGGTCGGACCCTGCAGAAAGCAGAGGTGCGGTGCAAAGAATTTACTACAACACCTCCGGATGCTCATGTTTCTCCCCCTTAAATGCCTTGGAAATTAAATGAGGCTGGAAGGATTAGCAGAAACGGAGAGCTAAAGCTTCAACACTAAGCATGTTAAAGTCAGAAAATCCCAAGAGACTGAGGGTTGTCCTAGCAACGTTAACTCCGCCACATACCACCTCCAGGATCTTTTCTACTCCTTCCCTCGTTAAAATGTAAGCGTTAGTGTCTGGCTCATTGAAAGCCTCCCCATCACACAACCCAGGAGACACGCGCGACACAGCTGAACGTGTGCCACGTTCTGCAACTCCCAGCTCGAGCCTTGGCATCAGTGCAGCTCGCGGGCTCCAGGATTGCGTGCGGTTTTATATTATCTCCTTTTCTTTACAATCTGGATTTTTTTTTTCCTCTTTTTACACTCTTTTGGACTGCCAACCCAAAGCCTGTAGATAAAACTGATGTATAAGGGACACTGGCTACACGCTCCCCCCAGCCCTGAATGATTTCCGGACCGCAATACCTACCATGTTCTTACCTTCTCTGCTTTGCTGTGAACATCAGCGTGCGCTCATTACTTCCCTGTAAAACACTTAGTGCATCCCAGCGCCCACCCTCCCGGCCGGGAGGCCACCACGGAGTACAACCGCAACTGCTGGCAAGCGGTTGGCCTCAGCTGCTACGCTGTAGGCACAGCTACAGGTGCTCTGTTTCCACTGCTGGTTTTACACAAGGCAGGTGATAAGCATTTCACTCCATCTTGGGGAAACCTTCAGGGGGTTTCCGGCAAGAATGACAGTCTGCTCCGCTTGTCCACTACCACACTGTACAGTAGCTAAAAACTGCACCTCCGGTACCCCTTCAAACACACGGCAGTTTACGGCCGCAGCAGCCGTTCCCTCTCCATCCTT